GGGTTGGTATACCTCCCATAAAATGGCTTTAGCCGCCTTTCCCAACCGATGGGGCTGTAATTTGGTATAAAGGGTTGTGGAAGAAATTTGTGCGGTGTATTTATATGTCCAAGCTTTTATATAACCCTATGGGGTGTAAAATCGTCCTACAAAAAATTATAAACATCAATTTACGGGTTGGTATACCTCCCATAAAATGGCTTTAGCATCCTTTCCCAACCGATGGGGCTGTAATTTGGTATAAAGGGTTGTGGAAGACTACCTTACATACAAATTTGTGTGGTGTATTTATATGTCCAAGCTCTGCTTCTGTTTGGTTATTAATAATTATAAAACCATATTTTCTCATGGAAGTGGCAATAATTTAACATATCGTTTTCCTGGTGAATAGAAATAAATAAAAAATCCGTATAGTGTCGTAGTGTCGTAATTTGAAACACTAGTTTTTGGGAGCATGAAGAACCTACCATCACATAACACCATAATATAGTCCCGATATAAATATCCCAATTGATTGAATGAATGACTGATTTATATACAAATTTGTGCGGTGTACATATAGGTCCAAGTTTTGATATAACCCCACATAAGAGTTCCGCTACATTTTCGTTATTAATAAATTTGAAATTAAGGATCCAATCGTATCCTAGATTCTGCGTTGAAAAATATTTTTCATATATATTTTTTCACTTCAATTGTTATTAAATCAGTTACACATTTTTTTTATTTGCCAATAATTTTCATACAGTTCAGTATCTGCGTTTTTAATTATAGTTATTTGAAAGGTATATATTAAATATTCTCCAAAAATGTATATACGTTATTGCAATATCATATATGAAATTTACTATGCAGTTTATAAAAATGATTAGCTATTTCACCTTTTTTATATTTTTAATATCTTTATTTTTTTTTACAAATTTCTGATGCAATTTTTTCAAGCACTTTCTTTTCAGGATTATCAATCAAATCACGAATACAACACACAAACAAACAATTGAACGTGTCAATACGTCCAACGCAACGGACAAAGCACAACTAATGTTGCGCATTGGCATGCATTGAACTTTTAATGCGTGAATGGCGGAGAAGTTTGATGTTGAAAATTAAATTGCAGTTTGGTGTGCAGACTCAATATCAGGTTTTAAGAAATGCAAAGAAATTATAACCAGCAAACCAGAGTGGACAGAAAACCCCCCATGAGCATAGGTGTGTACACTGCACACGGGTACAGTATTTCGCAAAAGTGCTGATATATTTAATTTAAGACTATTTCGCATAATTTGTTTTCTATTCGATATACATGTTTAAATTATAATAAGGAGTTCTGATGCCACTGCCTTTCACTATTCAGAATGCTAGGTAGATTCGGATGCATAGAATCTATTAGTACGGGAACGGACCTTTTTTAGTATTTCAATGACACAAAAAAATGTGAATATTTTAAAAAGATGTGTCGGTTACAAATACGTTTAAATGTATAACAGTACGTTTACATTTAACCGGATTTCGTTAACCCAGTGGGTTTCAATTGTCATTTCCTTTGCATATATGTCAAATAAAGTAGGTTAAACCTCATAAAGTAGGTTAAACCGGTAAAAAGTTCTAATGTACAAGGAGTTTAAATAAACTCATTTCCAGATGAACCCTTTTGTGGTGTAATAGTAAGTTTACATTATACTGGACTTATAAACCCAGTGGGTTTAAATTGCCAATGCCATTACTTAAAGGACATATAAATGCTTATAAACGGGGTTAATCCTGCAAAAAGTTCTAAGGTATATTTACCTTCAAATCGATCAAATTATTAATATTATATTATATTTTATTTATTTATTAAATTCATTCTTTAATACTAAAGCCTCCAGGGCCAATAAATAGTATTAATATAACACATCATTCTAAGTAGAAAACAAAATACTTAAAAATATATTCAATTATAATTGGCTCCCCAGCCATAGCCACTAAAACAAAAGAGCGTAAATGAAAGCCATAATAAGCAACAACCAGCAAATTGCAGTCATTAATTCGAATAAAATATGTGTAAATGAAACATATATTAAATTGAAAAAAGGAAATAGAATATGCAAAGAAATTGACTGTAAATGAAAATGTATGTAAACAAAAAAACATACAGTTTATAAAAAGCAAACCAGATGTTATGAATAAGTTAGAATAATTGACAGAATATTAAATGCGATTATCAGTACTATTCTTATTATATCGTTAATTATAAATTTAAATTTTTCTTGAAATCCGCACACACTCTTGATTTCCACTGTAAGTACATTGCCCCTATGTCAAGCAACTACAAATAACGAGAATATCAATAAGCGATATCATAGTGAAAAGAACTTGAGCAAGAGCTTCAAATTCCACTTATACATACAAACGCAAAAATATGTGCTGGAATGCACAATCGAGACAATTTTCGTGCTGATGCTATGTTTTTTGTTTTGTATCAGAACATCTAAAAAAACGGGGTTTTTTTCTTTTCGAAAAAAAAACTGCAACTAAAATATGTAACTTGGTAACATCAAATTTTCAACTGAACTTGGTTATATAGATATGTATGTACATCTGTCGATGTCTTAAATATGGGTAATAACCAATAATTTATTATTTAAGTTCTTTATGGCATACATACATGTGGTCAACTGATTTTTGTGAGTGAAGTTGAATTAGTAGGAATCACGACCTCGTAAACCAGAGATATACAAATCTGTACTTAAACAATACAAAACGATGTTAAGTTCAAACGCAACGAACTTTTTTTTATTTATTTTATTTCAATTTCATGATGCCAGTAGAACTTAGATTTTCCCATTCTAAGAAGACTTAACGTTTGAAGTGTCTGTACCATTTTTAACCTAAACAAACTGATGATATCGAATATCTTAAAATGAGATCTTATGCCTGGAAGTGTGAGATGTTTTCTTTCTTACTTACTTAGCGATTGTTCCATAAGCCGAGCTTAAAAAGGATTTCCAAGCGCGTTGGTCTTGTGCGCATCTTCTCCAATTTGAAAGACCATGTTCCCTGATGTGGTTTTCTACTTGGTCTTTCCATCTAATTTGTGGCCTTCCCCTTCTGCGTGAACCATCAGTAGGCTGTCACCTTGTCTGAATCCTCGTTCCTTACTACCTACAGCAAATATTGACTAGATGTTTTCATTCACCAATATGAACATCTCACATAACTGAATATTTGGGGCGACGTTAAATATTATAACAATGGGTCCACCACAGTTTGGTGCAAGCCACTAAACACACTAGGAAGGCAGGATATCATACCAACAGTCTAATTGTCAATAATAATTATGGGATGGATAATGGTCCAAATCATAAGTCTCATGTAGTGCGGATCTGGTTTATTTAAAACTGCGGCAAAGTTTTGATATTCCGGCCCAAAGTCCCGACCTTAACCCAATGGAAAATTTGTGCGTCTACTTGAAAAAAAGTGGCAAAAAGGCAACCAAAAATATAAAAGATTTAACAACTGCAATATTCAATGAGTGGCACAACATTCCGAACAATTATGACTTGCATAATCAGGTCTTAGTGGCCTAGAATTAAACTCTGCCTCATACTTCCCTTTTAGTAAATAACCAATTTTTAGTCATCAAAATCTAAATAGACAAATTATTTTATTTTAAAAATTTATGTATACAAAATCATGGCAACCATATCATATGTTTTACCCCCAATCAGTGCTGCCAGTTAAATTTCATGAAAAATCGTCAATTTTTCAGAAAAAAATCGGCATTATCGGCATTTGTATTTTTAAAAATCGGCAAAAAATCGGAAGCATATAATTTATAAGTAAATTCATATTTTTTTGGTTTATAACAAATCAATATTGTTTATTACATTAAAAAAGATAACAAATTCAATTCTGAATAACATAAAAGATTCATTTTTCTACAAAAAATGTAGATTTTTCTAAAATATTGTAATTATTATGTACACTAGTGAGATCTTTCAGATCATAAAAATAACTTACAAACTAGTACATATTTTTATTACACAATTTTAGTAATTTATTTAGTTTGAGGTAATATTTAGAATAAAGAATCCCTTCCAATGAATCATTCTCAAGTGAGCTTCTAATTTTAGTTTTGTTAAGGTTTACCTGACTAAAAATTCGTTCCACATTTGCTGTGGAGTGTGGAAGAACCATAATTCTTTGTACAAATTTAGACAAAACTGGAAAAGCTAAATTGGAGTCCCCACGTTTAATTTCGGAAATTTTTTTCCAAAAACTTTTTAAATTTTATTCTGCATTTTCAAAAATTTCTTCAAAATTCAGAAAGTTTAACTCCCTAAACTCGGAGTCTAAAGATTTGCCTTATTCGATGTAAAATGTAAACTAAACAGAGTACAATGCTGACAAAAAATGCAGATATCTAATTGAAAACGGCAGCGGCGAGTCGCCGATAGTTATAATGATTTAAAGCTGCCAATTTTATATGTTTGTATGGTAACGCCGTATTAAATTAAAAAGTTAGACAATTTGTGTCGATTGTTGAAATATCGGCAATTCTGAGGCAAAAATCGGAAAATCGGCATTTTCCATTTTTAGAGTGAAAAATCGTCAAAATGCCGATAAATCGGCAAATATGGCAGCCCTGCCCCCAATCCATTTGAATTCTCCGTTTTTGGTACACACTCTCTTCGCTCTCTGTTATCATTAAAATAACAGTACTTGGGTGATTGCGAATTTTATACCACTCTCTCTCTCTCTGCTCTGTTTGGTTGATAACACCTAATTGACATTTATTAAATTTAATAGAACAAAATCAACTACAAACTAGAAGTGAGATAAATAAACTGTTGACGATTGAAATCAGACGGAAAATTTTTTGGACTGTGATGACTTGTGATTTGAGTACAAAGTAATAAAATTCAAACTCACTTGTCTACATCCTACTTCGGTGGCAGTATACTAAGCGGCAGGTCGAACAAAATCTAGTATAATATATTAAATAATCAATAGGAAAAATGTTGCGCTTAGCTGTATCGAATGTCCTGATGAGCAAACCAATAATCCAGCAACGGGCAATGTCTTCCTTGTTGTGTTCTAAGGCCTTAATTGATGGCAAATGGGTTTCAGCCAGTAGCGGTAAAACATTTGAGGTTAAAAATCCGGCAAACAATAAGGTTGTCGGAAGTGTGCCCAATATGAATGCCAAAGATGCCCAATTGGCCATAGATGCAGCAAAGAGGGCATTCTATTCTGATGAATGGGCTGGTTTGACGGCCAAACAGAGGTCACAATTGTTGAAGGTATGTGTCAAGCGAAATAAATTAATCGAAAAGTTTTCTAAATTGTTTTTCCTCATTTAGAATTGGTATCATCTGATCGAAAAGAATACCCAAGAGATTGCCGAAATTATGACAGCCGAATGTGGTAAACCCATAAATGAGTCCAAGGGGGAAGTAGCCTATGGTAATGCTTTTATGGAATGGTTTGCTGAGGAAACAAGACGCATCTATGGTGAAATTGTGCCATCCCCAATACAGAATCGGGAAATGATTGTTATGAAGCAGCCTCTAGGTGTTGCAGCACTCATTACACCCTGGAACTTCCCCATGGCTATGATCACACGCAAAGCTGGAGCTGCTCTGGCAGCAGGTGAGGCAAATTATTCATAACACGTCGATTTTTGTATCTCTATATAATATAATTTCGTTTACAGGTTGCACCGTTGTCATTAAGCCAGCAGAAGATACCCCCTTAACAGCTTTGGCTGTTGCCAAACTTGCCCAGGATGCCGGCATACCCGATGGTGTTGTAAATGTTGTGACCACAAAAGAGGCTGCCCCTATTGGTGATCTATTTTGCAAGAGCCCTGATGTTCATGGCATCTCTTTCACTGGGTCCACAGAAGTTGGCAAAATTCTCTTCCGTCAATCGGCTGATGGTGTAAAGAAAATCTCCCTTGAATTGGGTGGAAATGCTCCATTCATTGTCTTCGATTCTGCTGATTTAAATAAAGCCATCGATGGAGCAATTGCTTCGAAATTCCGTAACTGTGGCCAGACATGTGTCTCAGCAAATCGCTTCTTTGTCCAAGAAGGAATATACGACAAATTTTTGGAAGGTCTCAAGCAACGTGTGGAATCATTGAAAATCGGCCAGGGAGATTGCGCTGATACACAAATTGGACCTCTCATCAACACAATGCAATTCAATAAGGTTACAGGCTTTGTTGAAGATGCACGTAGCAAAAAATGCAATATCATTACCGGCGGCAAACCCTTAAAGGATTTGGGTGAACTTTTCTATGCCCCTACCATCATTACCGATGTATCAAAGGATGCTAAAATCTACACCGAAGAAGTTTTCGGCCCAATTGTTACAGTTATTAAATTCAAAACCGAAGAGGATGCTCTCAAAATTGCCAATGAAACTCGCAGAGGTTTGGCCGGCTATTTCTTTAGCGAAAATGTTCAACAAATATTCCGTGTTGCCAAACGTCTTGAAGTAGGCATGGTTGGTGTTAATGAAGGTTTGATTTCTGCAGCTGAAGCACCATTCGGTGGCATCAAAGAGTCAGGAATTGGTCGTGAGGGATCTCACCATGGCATTGATGAATACACTGAAATTAAATACGTTTGTTTGGGCAATTTGAAATATTATTAAGTATCCTTTATGTTTATGGAGTAATGACTGTATGAAAATTTAGTATAAAAGATAGCAGCTTTAACATTCGTATTAACAAAGTCTTCCACGCAATATGAGCATTCTAGTTTTGTCGTTTAATTGTATTAAGCCATATTTTGAGTTCCAAGCACATGCAAATGAATAATATGTGTATTCATGTTAATAAATGCAAATTTAGTCAAAGTTAACGATTTGGTTTTTGTTTTAACTCCGAGTTTTCTTCTATTGAATATGGTAAAAATAACAATGTCTATTTTTACTGTTGTTATAAACATAAATACAATTCTAACAACAATAATGAATTTGACTAAGAGTATTTTTTTTTTTTTTTTTGGGAAATCAGTGATTAAAAAACCACTTGAATAAATTGTTAACATAGGTCACCGTTTTGGTACAGTTCCCGTATCGTTCAGTTTTTATATTCTCCACATTAAAATTCACATGATGTTTCAATTCGTCAGTTGCGTATTTGTTTTTTCAGAATTATCATAGATGACATAGATTAGGTTTCCTATCTGTAGGAGATATTTTAAGTACAAAAGAATTCTTAAATACATTTATAGTGGACTCTCAATAAATTGATTATCATCAATACAACGCAACTTGGCAGACCAGAATGCAAAAAAAATATGTAGTATATTTTGATCCCAATAACATGGTTTTAAGAAAAATTAAAAAACAAAAAATTAATCTGATAGATCGAATACCAAAAATGCAAAACTCAACAAGCTTCAACAATTTATTACAGAAATTGGTCTAAAACGGTACAAATAAAAAAAAATTATTTGTAATCAGAATAAGAAAAGCAACGTAAGGGCGGGTGCAACAATATTATATCCTACACCACTAACAGGACACATGCTGCAGAACATCCCGAAATAGAGAAACTTATAAGCATTTAATGCAAAATTTATATAAAAGCGGAAGAAAATATATATTGACCTACATATATATCTATAGAAGACAGAACAAGCCACTATAAGAAAAAATTTTATTCTTTAATAATGATACTAGCATATACCCGCTACTTCGTTAGCGAACGTGAGAATTAATTAAAAATGTCAAAATACATTATTTTGACTTCACAGAGAACTGCATAGTCAGTCACTTAGTACCATTTAGTTAATTTTTTCTCGTATTGTACGTATTTCGAAAACTACCTCCATATCCCAACACTACACACTAATTCTGACCGCAAAAGCTCTAGCTCTATACTAATTTTTGGTACCATACTATCCAAAACTAATTCCAAATTTCATGATTCGAGCTCTATAGGTTAGCCCAAATCATTATTTTACAAAATGTAGTACCATTTAGTACACATTAATATAAATCCAATAGAAAACATATTTCCCATATTTCTCAGGATTCCAGACCGATCGCTTCACTCAAATATAATTGTACTAAATTTAGTACAATTTAAAACATTAGTATGCATTTTCAAAACTTCCTATACACCCCAACAGTGATCCTGACTCCAAATTTCATTGTTCCAGCTCTATCGGTTCACCCAAATCCAAATTGTATCAATTATAAGTACGATTTTGTACTTTTCGTACACTTAAGTAAAAATTTCGAAAACCACGTTCATATCCCAATCCTACACTCCGACGGTAATGTTAATTTCAATTTTCAGGATTCCAGCTCGACTTGTATCTCCAAATTAAATTTGTACCATATATAGTACCATATAGTACTTTTCGTACACATGAGTACACGCCCTCAAAACCATCTCCTTATATCGACCCTAATTTGCATTCCAAATTTCAAGTTTCTAGCTCTATACATTCACATGTTACGAAATTGTACCAAATTTAGTAAATTTCAGTACTTTTCGCATACAGTTCGAATGTTCATCTATTCTACACTCCATCTGTGACCCTCATTTAAAATTTAAGAGTTCTAGCTCTACCGGTTCGCCTAATACAAATGGTATCACAGAACGGTACGAAAAGTATTAAAAAGTACTAATTTTTAGTACTCTTCGTACCGTTCTAGTACAACCCTCTCATAATTACCAAAATTTGTTTTTATATTTAATAGTTGTCAAATGCAAAAAATGAAAAATCAAAGAAAAAACAATTATACCATTTTTGTATTTAACAAGCATCAGCTGATCGGCATTTAGATCATGATTGAATATATGTGTAAAAAATGTGGGTGTATTTCTGGATTCAAATCGAGAGAATTTCGTAAATCATTATCAGTGCACAAGGCGTTGTAGTGTAAACATAGCTTAACTTACAAAATTCCTTTGCATCCAAAGAAAACACATCATATTTCATTTGGATTGGCAACCCTGTTATCACTTCACTGTGCAAATTAATGCAAAAAAGGCGCCTTTAAATACCAAACAAAAGCAGCAGCCGCAATCAAGAGAAGAACACACTTCAATTTCACAATTTTGGCAAAAGAATATATTTTACAAATAAAATGAACGATACATGTAAGTTGCAAAGTAAATTTAATACAAAAATAACCGATTTATACCCAAAATAAATTTAACAAATGTATTTGGAAGTGGTGGCCAAAATGGAAATATATATGAACAAACAAACAACATACATGATAAGAAATAAGGATTCATTATTCAAAAGTGGCACCTATTAAACACAAACAATTATATACATAGTTATTTAATATTGTGTTTTAATTGTCCTGAGATGTTACCTTGGAAAACAACTTGGTCATTATGTTCCCATAATATACTTGACTTTGTAATAATTTGATCGAATAATTACATTTATTTCCATTATATTGTCTTTTGCAGTTGGAGGAGACTTTAATGCCACCCAAACCAACGATGGTGCAGCTTCTGAGAAGAAGGCAGAAGGAATTGCTCCCGTCTTAATAAAACAAATTCTCAATTCACCCGAAGGCAACTTCCAAATGTTCGATATGAGCTTTAGCATGGTGTGTATTAAGGGTATTGTTCGCAATGTTGACACGTCGTCGACAAAAATAACATATACCCTGGAGGATAGTACCGGTAGGATAGAGGCACACTACTGGCTTGAGGAAGGCGATACTTCAAAGGCACCAAATGTAATGTTAAATAAATATGCAACCGTATATGGCAGTGTAAGATCACAGGGTGGTCAGAAGACATTGATGGTCTTTAAAATGTTGCCGGTTAATGATCCCAATGAAGTTGTTACCCACATCTTGGAGATGCTGAATGCTCGATATAAATCCGAGGAATTTTCAACGAAGGGCAGCAACTTCGATTTCAACGGTGGTGCGAAGGCCAGCAATGATGGCGGCAGTTTTGGTATACAAAGTGGAAATGATTTGGGTCTTGAGGGTAAAAATCTGGCAATTTTCAAAGCCATTAAGGAACACATTTCGAATGATGGCATCAGTCGAAGTGAACTAAAACGAAAATTCACACAAATGAAAGAAGCCGAATTGAAGTGAGTAATTATCTTATTTTTTTACCAATTTTTAATTATACTAATTTTATTTTGTTTCTAGTGGCATTCTGGATTTCTTGATTTCCGAAGGTCATATCTACTCAAGCATAGATACTGATCATTTCCTCAGTACCGAATAAATCATTCCTTTTTATATACATATGTAAGCATTTATATAATTTGTATTGTTTTTTTATACGCATAATCCAGAAATAAATTCGAACTCATCATAAATTCAAAATTAATCAAAAAATATGTAAATGGAAATTAAATCTAAGTAAACAATGGGAACTATGTCAATGTTAAGAAGCTTGAAGTTGTTTTACACTACCATTAAACTCTGAGCCCAGTTATTGTCTTAGAAAACGGAAATAGATAAATCGAAGGAAAGAAGTTAGTATGGATATGTCATCGACAAAAATAAAAAATACTTGAGGTAGTATAGAAGCACACTACTGGCTCGAGAAAGGTTTTGAAAATGTTGCTGATAATGGTCCCAATGACGTTTTTACATCTTGGAGAAGCCAAATTCTCGTTATGAATCCCAGGACAAAATGGTCAATTACTGAAATTGTGAATTTCTTTTTTTTTTTCGAAGGTCGTATCTTCTCAGCACATAACACTCTTTTTTGCATACAGTCGAGATCGCTTATAACGACGTATAAGATCACAGGGTAGTAGGAAGATATTGATGGCCTTGAAAATGTTGCGGATAATGATCCCAATGAAATTTTTACATCTTGGAGAATCCAAATGCTCGTTGTAAATCCGAATACAATAGGGACAATTACTGAAATTTTGGATTTCTTTTTTTCCGAAGGTCATACCTTCTGAGCACGTAACACTCCTTCCAAATCGCTTATAACGACGGTATGGAACCGGCGAAATTGGTCGCTATAAGCGATATGTCATTATAAACATTTATATAATATTGTCCAGAAGTAACTTTTAATTCTCCATAAATTCAAAGTTTACAACTCCGATTTAAGATTGACATTTATTTTAATCGAAAATATTTAAATGGAAATTAAATCTAAATACACAATGGGAACAATGGTAATGTTAGAAAAAACTAAGTTTTTTACAACACCACCATGTAGTACAGCAGTATTAAACTCTTAATGATGTTCGGCATGTTCTTTGGCTTGTGCTTCAGCCCAGGCTTTCTTGTTACCAGGAGAGTTAGCTGGAATCATAGAAAAAATCACAATGATAAATCAATTTAATATAACAACGATGATCAACACTTACCCAATTTGCTAATCTTGTAGAAGACGGGGATGGACAAACCGAAGGCAAGGAAATAGTAGCGCCAGATCCATTGGTTCTTAATGTAGTGCTTCAATGGGAATTGAGCAATTTTAGCCGAAAAGGTGTAAGGGAATTTCATGGGGTTGCCAACGGGCTTTTCAACAACTTTGTCAGCCATTATTTTGATTTGCTACAAGTCTGAAATTGGAATGAAATCACAATTTATTGATATTTATTTTATGTTTTTATTCAAAAATTATGTAATCTTTTATTTTTTCACAAAAAAAATGCACTCCAATACCTCCTAGTCAAGAAATTTGCAAAATGTCAATGTACAACCTGAAGTTGGCTGTAGTGTTGTAAAGTAATGTATTCATTAAGTAACCACATGATAATAATGGCATTGCCAGCACGAAATAATTATTAATGCTTTAGATATGCATTTACCGTATGAAAATTATATTGAGTGGAAATTAATTTAAAATGAACATAAATGAAACCTTCCAAATCGACTTGATTTATAGATCGAGGTGCCATATTCCTAGATATTTAGTATTAAAATCATATAAAGTTCATTTGTAACCGGTGGGCAAGTGTATATATAAACAGGGTTGTATTGAATTTATCTCGATTTACCTAAGACTTCTAACCGGCGTCTTCTAAATCGACTCGATCTGTAAATCGATATATAGAATCCTATCTGTTTAAAGCACGTTTAGACTTACAAAATCCACTCGATCTCAAATGTCAATTCCATTGCGTATACGTCAAATATAATACACTGGATTTGTGGACATGATTAAAAGCGGATTTACATATAATATTTAATCAGGATTAATGGCTGAATCAAGGATTATTTTCTTAATTAGGCTGAATTTACAAATTTAAATCATCGTGGGGTAGGTTTTATTTTAAATCACGATCAAAATCCTGATACTAATAAGATGCAACGAGGTTTTTGTACGAAAAAATAAAACTTTCTCACAATGTACCAAAAATTGCAGCTGTTTCGCATGTGGTTTTTTTATATTTAACGGTTGTCAAATGCAAAAATTAAAATCGAAGGAAAAAAATATTTTAAAAATTTTTGGGTTTTTAGGTTTTTTGTTGTTTTTGTTTTGTTTTGTTTGCAATCCCGTGATTGTTGGGTATGCAAAAATAACGAAATTGTCGTAATTCTTCTTTTCTTTTTCAATTTGAAAACAAATATTTGGTCTGTATCAGTACTGCAAGAATCTACTAGTTTTTACTATTTTTTCCGATATCATAAAGGAAAAATTGTTTTCGTAGTAAAAACTAGGAGATTCTTGCAGTATGGGAACAGACCAATTTTTTGGCGCAAACAAATAATTTTGTATGAATACTAAGAAACATCAGCTGATCGACATTTAGATCATGATTAAAGTTTATATATGTATATGTAAATGTACTTTAAGGTGACATATACGCTATGGAATTGACATAGATATTGACTTATCCAAAAATCATAAATTTCTTCTTACTAATGTTGTAAAATCCATCGTTATTTTTATATTTTTGAAAATAGTATATACACAGTCACACATTTTGTATTTGACTTTGGCATAACAAACCACAATATCAAAAAAAAATAATTTATAAGCTGCTATGGTCCACCTTAAATATATGTTATTGGTGTTAAATAAATGACAATTAATTTTGTAAATGTGCCGAACAAAACATGTGATTTACAAAAATACAAATTGCATTTAACAAAAAATATATTGAAATGACAACAAAACACTAGTTTTATGTTTAAGTTTCCCATGTCATCAACTTACTCTATACAAACATGTCATCAATTTACATTGCATTGCAATCGTGTTATCAATTTCCTGTACATACCAAATGGCGTCTCGGCGCCCAAACCACCTGGCTCTGAGTTTCATTTCGGAGACAGTTGCGAAGCGAGCGTTAGCGTTTGGTAAAAAAATTTTCATACAGAGCAAAAGCACGCCAAACGTATTTTCGCGCGTTATTTTGCTAAAATTATTAATTTTTTAATAAATCTCCGGTATTGATAGCAGTGTAATTTGATAAAGTGCTTTTCGACAAACACAACGAACTGTATATCAATGATTTTAACGTTAACATAGAAGCAAGAAAGAACAAAAATTTTCTATGGTATTTTGTGTTTTTCTTTGGTGTTTGGAAAATTTTTAGAGTTTTGAGACAGCAAGCATACAACACAAACACACTCACGCCTTCGAGCCATACTCTTCATCTTCTGTTGTGTAGCAGCTTTTTTTCACGCCACTTTGAAGAAAGGCTGAACGACGACGAGATTGTTGCTGATTTCTGTTACTGAATAAATAAAAATTTCCTGCCAAAATGCCGATTTGCAAACGTGATGGATTCTATAATGTTAGTTCAAAGGGGAAGGACGAAACATTTCACGACAATGAAGATGTTTTCTATTGTGAAGTGACTAAGGAAATATTCAAGGATTATGAGTAAGTTTCTTGCAGGATTGATTGCTTTTTTGGGTTGGGGGGCTGTGCTGTGCGAATATATCTAATTAATGATTGTTTTTGTAGGGATTACTTTCGCCATGTAATGGCCATAAACAGCACTGTGTGGCAGTGTGAAGCCACCGGAAAAGACGATCTGACATATGCAGAGGCTTTGAAAAGTGAGCGACGAGCTCGCAAGAAAATGGAAATGTTCAAGGATTGTCTGAGAGCACCTGTAATGTTGGTCATTGAACATGCCAAACAGAGCTCCTTGAATGTCCTGAATGCCTTAACATTCCGCTTCTTACGCAAACGTTTCTTCCTTAACGAGGAGGTATACACGGGGAAAGGCCCCAATTCAATATATCGAGTAGAGAGTATAAGCTCGCCCGACAACAAAGTCCCCGCCAATGGTGTGTACGAAGACACAGACAAATTGATGTACAAATTAAAAGGGTTGGGGAGTAAAGGCGCAGAACTTACCGTGCCATTCGAGAAAATACGAAGGAAGAAATTTGAATTTACTGGTGAAAATTTACAAATGTTTATTAAGAATAATGTTATTAGGGTGGATGGAATATTGAGGCCAAAACCAGAATCATACCAAAAGTATGTTACAGATCGAAAAATCACATTTGAATCCCTGTTTATTGGGAAGATGCCACACTTCACACCAGCGAAAATTAAGAAACCAGATGAAAGCAAGAACAAACAGTCCACATTGAATAATTATTTCGGTAAAAAAGACAATGATAAGACATCTGGGTCATCAAAGAGCGAGAAGGCCAAACAAGAAAAGGAGAAAGAAAAGGCCGATAAGTCGGAGTCTAAGGCTAAGGCACTAAAGGAAGAAATGGAACGTATAAAGCGCGCCAAAGAAGAAACTTTAATGGCTCAAATGCGTGAAAAAGCCGAAAAGAGAGCCAAGCTGTTGGAAAAAATTGAAGAAGAAGTTACTTCTTTACTTACCAAAACCGATGATTTGGAGCGCACAGATCAACGTTTAATGCCTGTCTATACACCCATAAAAACGGTGATATCCACAAAATTGCTAGGCGATGCTTTCATGTTGCGAGAATTTATGCATACCTATGCCGGTTTGTTATCGGGCATTGAAGTGTTCAAAAACAATCTCAGCTTCTATGAAATGGCACGTTCGTTTACCGTACGTGAAGTGGCTGGTCCACTCTCTGATATATTGCTTATACTTGTCGGAACCATTTTCGATTTACAGCGAGAGGAAGAGGAGGAAGTGTATATTTCTTACAAAGCGTCCTCACAGTCTATACCCTATTGGACACATAAATATGTGCAACGGCATTTCTCGTTTCGTCTCCACGAACTTCCATTGGATGCGTTGACAGTAAGTGAGGTGTTACGCCTACATTTGTTGGCTTCGGGGGCTTGTGTGAAGGAGAAACAGGCCGAGAAATGGCGCATCATGTATCGCAATGGCTACACATCGCAGGAAGATCCTGGTTTAGAACTGAGAGCTCGACACCCACATATTTTGCGGGCTTTAAAAATGTACACCATCTATCAGTTGCCATTCTTCGATATCATGCGTGTTCTAAAATGCCTCATGGCACAAATTCTAACCTACTCGCCCACAATAAATCTCATCGAGGAACGTATGGAACAAATGGCTACAGCTAGACAAGAACTAAGGACACTAATTGCCGCCGAAAAGCAAAGGGAGGCTGCTGTACAGGCACAAAAGAAAACTCTTACCGTTGAATTTAATGTTCAATGCTTGGACGATGAAACTAAAAACAATCCCGAAAAGAAGAAGTCCCTGGAAGATAAACTCAACAAGAAAATAGCCGAAATAATGGCTACATCGGAAAGGGAAAAACGTAAATTTGATCAACAAATTGCCAATACCCATAGTTCGCTGTTTAACTTTTTGGTTTACTTGGGCATGGACAGAGCTTACCGCAAGTACTATGTCCTGGAATCCATGCCTGGTATTTTCGTAGAACATCCTGTTGAATGTTCAGACAGATGTTTGGACAATCCACCCAAGAATAATTTATCCAAAGGTCTGTCATTGGACAAAGCTAATTTGCCCAAGAACCGTGCAAATCTTCGGGCAATGTTGCTAAAAATGTACACCGAACAGGAAAAGAAATCGAAAAATGACATTGCTGCTCAAGAGGACAAAGAAAATCTCAATCAACAAAATGGAACTGTGGTAAACGGTCTGGCCAATGGCCATGCCAACGGAGAGAAAATGGATGTTGACGAAGTATCCCCCGCCACTACGACCGAGGAATCTGCTCCCACACAATATCAACTGTTTATGTGCACAGGAAATCCACGCGAATGTATTGTCCACGATGAACGTAATCCCGATCGTCATCGATGGTCATATCTCTATAAGAAGGAAGACTTAGAGGCATTAATTGAATCGCTAAATCCCCTAGGCTATCGAGAGTCCGAGTTACGGGAACAACTGACTACGCTTAAAGACCTTATTGCCGAACACATAAAGAATTGTCCCGTCGATATGTTGAATATCGAAACCAAAAACATATCCAAGTTCAATCAAAGCATGATGAGCGAAACTATGCGCAAATATAACAAATCCAATTTTGGCTTCCCCATCGATGGAGCTGATCTCAATGAGGTTATGTACGGTGCCTTGGTCGATCGTATACTTCAATTTGAGAGTGAAATTTACACCGGCGACTTGGGACGTCTTAAAGTGAAAGATATGCAAAAATGGCGTGACGATTTACAAAATAGCCGTTATGATCCACAAGTTAAACTGCAGTGGGGTCCACCGAAAAATACACCTGCATCAGCATCTACGGAGTCATCTGAAGTTGATGGTGACAAGAAAGCAGATGAAGATGATGATGGTTCAGACAATGAAACAGAACAAGGGGAAAATGATGAGCGAAATTATGCCGGTAAACCATATCGTGATCCTGGTGAAAGTTTAGGTGATACATTGGAAATTGATTCCGAGGATTCAGCCGATGAAGGCATTTCATTACACGATTCGGATACATTACGTTCGTATGTAAAACAATTGTCGTCGGCATTGTTGCAAGTAGAACAAGCTGTCGAAAGGCGTTTCCTTAAGGAGCCATTCGGTGTTAACAGTAATGTCAAGGATAAAGATGTGCTCGAACATAAACTAACACTGGCAGCAAATCGTTTACGTCAATGGGAAGTTTCGCTAATGGAGAGTACAAGTTATTCACAGGTAAAACGAAATCGATATTTTTGGTTTAAAAAATATGACATATAGTATTGAAAATTATATTTTTTTATCCTAGGTCTTTCTTCACTTAAATGTTCTGTATGACTGCATAATGTGGGCACGATCCACAAATAAATCCAACTGTGTCGTTTGTCGTCGCGGCAGTGATCCTGACAAAATGTTACTTTGTGATGAGTGTAATGCCGGTACGCACATGTTCTGCATGAAACCAAAAATGAAGACTGTTCCCGAAGGCAATTGGTATTGTAAGCGTTGCGTCGAAAAGTTAGGACTTCAGAATGCCAATGACAAGAAAAATAAAACCACACAGCGTCGTAAACGCAAGTTTATTGTCGAAGAGGATAATAGTGATGTGGCATCGGTATCGTCGGAGACAACAGGTTCACGAAATGGTGGTGGTGGTGGTCGAGCAACAAATGATAAGGGTCGTAACAAACGATTACAGTCCAATGAAATTGAAGATATGCTGGAAGAGGATGATGATGACGCCGCAGGTGAACAAGAAACAATTGATGAGGATGCTGTTGCCGCCGATATAAGTATGGAAGAAGAAGAGGGTGCAGAAGAAGCCGACGAAGATGCAGAAGCCGATGAAAAGGAACAATCGAACAATGAATCTGAAGTTGATGAGTAAGTTTATTTGAGTAGAATAACAAAGTAAACAAAACTTGATTATAACTAATTTTGTTCTTCACTTTTTAAGGGATGAAAATGTGTGCAACATATGTTCGTATGATGGCAGTGAAATATCCTGTACAACATGCAAAGATTCCTTCCATTTAGAATGTATAAAATTAAAGCGTATGCCGCGCTACAATTTTGTATGCAACAAATGTAAAACAAATGAAAATTCCAAGAAGCGAAAGAGCAGAGCAAATGGTAAGTTTGTGAAAGAACTCGAAAATTTATCCGAATTTTTATAACACAATTCTCTTTTGTTTATTGAAGATTCTCAATCAGACGAAGAAAGCAGCGACGATGATGAACCCTTGGTTAAACGTGGTCGTGCATCTCGTCCCTCCTCACAACGTAATTCGCTGGCTAACACAAAAGCCGAACAAGACTCAACCACAAAGTCATCAAACAGCCGACGTTCAATACGTCGCACTGCCGACAATTTACCCTTGAACAATTCAATATTATATGAACTCTTGGAGAAGATTATGAAACATGAACATGCCTGGCCATTTTTGAGACCCGTATCACAATCCGAAGTACCCGATTATTATGATATCATTAAGAATCCCATGGATTTTGCCAAAATAAAATCGAAATTAAACATGGGTTCATATCAAATCAATGAGGAGGTGATGCGTGATGTTGAACTTGTGTTTGGCAATTGTGATGAATACAATGTCAAAGGCAATGAAATCTATGAGTAAGTTGTAATATTTATACATACAACTCTTAAAACCGGTTTTTACATATATTTTTTGTTTGTTTTATTTTTCAGGGCTGGCGCAGCATTGGAAAAATATGTCATAGACCTGTGTAAAGAACTGAATCTACCATACAAACCAAGCGATATGAATTCAGAAGTTTAGTCCAATTAAACCACACAATCGTATCACAATCATAATACTGTTGCAGATTTTGTCGTTCGTTCGTTTTTTTTGTATTATATTTCCATAACCAAAATTATTTGTAACAAAATTTCCCCTGATGCAGCCATTTTTTTAAACAAATTGTATGTTTGTAATTATCATGTAATGCAAAATTGTTTGTATTTTTTTAGTAGCAACAACAACAATTGGAATATCAGTTTATTTTTTTAACATGGCTTATATTTGCCCCCCTACACTCGTTCTTTGTTAATTTCTATTTTTGAAATTCTGTTATTCCCCCAATGCCCCCCGCCCCTGTTAATCTTTATTATATCGTTTATGTGTGTGTTTTCCTTCAAGCAAAACAAAACAAACCGTCTTTATTTTATAGGTATTTTTTCACAAGTATATTTTCTAATAAACAAATCCCCAAATATATATTTTTTATTATTATTTAATTATATAATTTAAGTTAACAATATTGAAAACATTTTTTGTTTAAAATAATAATATTATATGTAAGTTTAGAACTAAAAACAAAAGAATATATGATAAGATTTCTAATATATATATATATAATTAAGATTTATTCACTTTACTAAGTAGAAACAGAAAATACAAATGTTGAAAAAAATAAGAGGAAGAAAAAAACAAAAACATATTAAAGAAAATATACCTGCACACACATGGCTAAAATAAATTATTGAATAAAGTTTGCATCAACCAAATATTTTGCATTTTTCTTGATGGGTTTGAATGGAAAAGTGTTCCACAGTTTATTCTTCAAGGTAGAGATATTGACCACAAGTACTCAAAAACAGAAAAATATAGCGCCTAAAAGTATGCTCATAATTTCGCCAACTAACATAGAAACACAAAGCAAACAATGTGGCAACACATCGGCATTTTTCTGTATTTGTCGTATTGCAATTGCTTCAGTTTTCCCATTTGTGGTAATAGGCAAACAGAACCGTGTAGCAGCTATATTTTGACACATGATCAATTTCAAATAGCTATAACTCGTCGATGAATGGGTATTTTAAGATGAAACTTTCACTATTGGATAGGGGAAGTGATGTGGTTTTTGTGTGTATAAATAAATTACGAGAAACAAATATGTTGAGTTGGCATTTTTAAAAAGGTTTCCTACAAATACCAAGGGTGTATTTCTTAAAGGGAATTCTGATGTCCCAATAGGATGGAGATTTTTTTGGAATATTTTCCCAAGTTTCAATTGAGCAATGATTATTTAAAGAATATTTTTTCAACTGCTTATTTTAGGAATATTTTTTCAAGTACCAAAAGAGTGTCAAAAAATATGTTTTTGAAAAATTTTAATGAAAATTGTTAAAGAATACTTTACAGTTTTATACAATATTTTTAAATGCCAAAAGAGTCAGGATTTTTTGCAGATTGATTTTTTTAAATGTTAATAGATAGTTTTTTAATTTTATTTATGTGCCGGTAGATTTGAATTGTTGGATTTTGAAGGAATATTTTTTAAGGTCTAATAGGAGGGGTTGAGTTTTTGTAAATAATATGTTTTAAGGTACTAGAAGGAGTGGAACGATAACTTCCATCTCTCGGCAATATACCGGTATAGTTAAAATATTAGGTTGTGCAAGTTTGCATAAAATGCATTTTCAGATCAATTTTCACCATTTTTTGGGGATGGTACCAGAAGGAGGATATATATATATATATAACTTACAATCCACGATTATTTGAATTTTTTAAACCACTATTATTTGAAAAAATATTTTTTTTTAAATCCAAGGTTATTTGAAACAATTTTTATTTTTTATTAAAAATATTGTTTTAATTCAATTTTTTAAAGAAATTTTTGAAAAAAAAAATATTTTTTTTAAACATCCACGATAATTTTTTTCAAAAAATGGATGTATTAAAAACTGTGTTTAATTTCAATTCAATACAATTTATTTTATATATGATATTAATTATTTGATTTTTTTCTAATCCACGATTTTTCGATTTTTTTGAAAAATTTTTTTTTTTTTTTAACCACGATTACGTGAAAAACTAGTTTTTAAAAATACAAGGTTTATACACCTCTGAACGGATAAGGCTGTCGAATGCGGCTTTATAGTCGACGGATAGGTGAAATGTGTCTATGTGTTTTTCGTGGGTTTTTTCCAGGATTTGGCGTAGAGTGAAAATTTGTTCAATGGTGGATTTGCCAGGTCTGAAGCCACATTGGTATGGTTCAATAATGTCATTGAACAGTCGTTCACACAGTACGCTGGATAGCACTTTATATGCAATGGGTAGGAGACTTATTTCTCTATAGTTGGCACATATCGTCTTGTCTCCTTTTTTGTGCACGGCACACAGGATGCTGAGGTTCCAATCATTGGGCATGCATTCTTCTAGCCAAATTGTACTAATCAGCTGGTGCATACTCCTTACCAGCATCTGACTACCAGTCTTGAATAGTTCGGCTTGTAACCCATCGGCACTTGCTTCTTTATTATTCTTCAGCCGATTGATTGCTATTCTGACTTCATCTTGGCTAGGGGTATCCTCTTCACCGCTACTATTTGATACCAGAATTTTTTCAAAATGCTCCTTCCAGATCCTCAGCACGCTGTCTGTATCTGTCACCAGTTTTCTTTTTTCATCTCTTCAGGGAGATTTGCCTGCATCAACGACTTCGGTTTGGTGTTTTACCCGTTGGTAGAATTTTCGGACTTCATTCTGACTCCTGTACATCTAGATTTGCTCACGCTCACGTTTTTTCTTGCTCTTTCTTCTTTTTTCTGAAAATACGTTTCTCCTCTCTCTTTTTCTCCCGATAGTTCTCCATCGCACTACCTGTTTCTACTGTCCGCAGGGATGCCCTATACGCTGCGTTTTTCACATCAGTAGCATTACGACCCTCCTGATCGTACCATGGGTTTCTTGGTGGTGGGTTTTGGTACCCAAGCGTTGCTTTTGCTGCAGTTTGTAGGGAGTGGGCAATTCTCTGCCATTGTGCTTCTATATTATTATCGGGGCAAGGGTTGCATTCGTCAAGCAGTTGGTTAAGTTGAGCGGAGTAGGCTTCTGATATCTGTTGTGTTTACAGCTTTTCTAATAAAAACTATTATTACTATTATTTTTATATTCCACTCAAAAATATAATATACACATAATTTACCCAACAGAAAAAAAGAATATTATATCTATGATGATGACATATCTTATTTTATTTATTTCAATTTTAAATTTTATTCACATAGTATTATTAGATAGTTAGTATTGAAGTAACCAAGCCAAAAACAATGGATACATTTTACAAGATAATGTTTTTTCTTCTTCTTCTTCTACGTTTGGCTGGAGCACTGTGTGCTTAATTAATAATAGTAATAATAATATAAATTATAAATTGGACATATTCGATATTGATAATAAAAAGTAATAGTAACAAAACATTTTTGGGGACAATGGAGAGAAAGAGGCGATGAGGAGCGGGGACGAGGAGAAAGTTGGTATTACTTGTTGACATTTAAAAAATAGAATAATTTTCAATGATTAGGATACACTATTATTGTGCAAGTCTTATTTTCTTTTAAGTCTCCTAAAGTAGATGTTGTGGATGATTGTTTAAAAGGGGTAATGGGTGGTGGTTGGGATGATGATGACGAGGGAGAATATTTTTTGTTATGTAATGTATTCTAAAACTATATGACAATTATGAAACTAAAAAAAAATTGTTTGTTTGTTGTTTTCACTTGTTTTTCTATTCACTTTCTGAATCATCAACAAATTGTTTGCGATAATTGCGACGTACTCGGGCTAGCTTTTGTTCGTAGCGTGATAATTTCTGTTGATATCTTTGTATTTTCAAGGTGACAACACCTTCATCTTCTTCATGATTATTATTTTTCTGATTATTACCACTTGGATTGTTGCCATCTTCTTCTTCTAGGCAAGGTGAGAGGCGGTGATGAGCCATCATAAAACGTGACGTTGAGGCGTGACCCTCATCATCATTGTGTTCTATAGTACTGGGTGTGGTCAGGGAATTATTTAGACTGACACCACTATCGGGGGTAAAGAGATACGAACTATTTATGTTACTGTTATTTAAAAATATCGACGACATATTATTGCTGTTATTTAGATTTGTTGGCCTTTGGGGTGTGGTGTGTTGGGGAGGAGACTCCATATGCTCCATCGGCTGCTGCTGCTGATGATAGTCTCCATCGACATTGCCATTTAGAAAATGATCGTCCAGACCAAAGATATCATTATTGTTTGTTTCATTGTTGTTCTCTTCCAATTCGGCCAAATTGTTGCTGTTTCTCCGTATGTGGATGTAATCATTTAGGGATATTTTACGTTTTTTCAATGGTGACGATGATGATGATGACGGAAAATTGTTGTTGGGGGATGATATCGTCTCTAATGGAGGAACCTGAGCATTGTAATCACCATTTTCCAATTCTAATTTTTGTAGCGTCGTATATGAGGATGATGATGACGACGAGGATGATGCCGATACTGCCGATAAAGACAATGTAGACGAAGATGTTGATGGCAGTATAGCAATGTCTGCGAGATGATTGGTGGCGGAATTTCCCACTTCCTCATCACAGGGTCTCTTTTTGGGAGAATTATTGCTGGAAACAGAACTAGGCAATATATCGCCATCATATGGATTGCTATTATCAGAACTACTACTACACATCCTCCTTCTCCTGCTGCTGGTGTTGTTCGTGTTAATGCGATTATTGTTGTGATTCGAAATTTGTGTTGCCAAATATTCATTTCGAGGAGACGTAGCGGGTTGAGGTAGTATTGTTGTGGTTGTTATTGTTTCATTGTTGACATTTAATGCTGCCGATGTTCTAGGCTTTTGAGATTTGTGATATTTTCGGAATTTTTCATGACTGTTGTTTTCGTCGTCATCGCCATCATTGTTATGATCATCGCCACTGTCTTCGTGGCAATTTCCTTCATTTGGATTTTTATTTGCACCATTTATTTTCTTCTTTCGATTTTCTTGCTGGTTTTCATCATCCACACTTGTTGTGTTAGCTGTTTCATTCTGTTTTGTTTTTTCCTGTTCGGAATCCTCTTCGGAGTCGGACATAAATATTTGACGACTTAAACGCAAAAAGGCATCTGAAAATATAAAAAATAGAAGAAATAATTAAAAACAGAATAGTATTAATTGAATTGGGAGTGATAATTCTTTTAAATGGAAGTGGTAATTGGATTGATTGGTAAAAATTTTTGATTAATCAATTTAAAACTAACATAATCTAGGTAAGGTAAACATGTTACGATGTGCCAGTTTTAAATGAAATTGGATATTCCGTTCGCTGTATACAAGGAATGTACAAGTTTTAACAATGCTGGCCCTTTGTGAGAGAGGTACCAGACCGATAAGTACTATCTTTCAACATTATACTTATACTAACTTAGCTTGCTTGTGACAGAACATTGGTTCAATAAGCCGACCTTAAAAAATATTTCCAGGCGCATCGGTCTTGTGCGCTTCTCCTCCAATTTGAAAGATCATGTTTCGTAATGTTTTCTTCCACTTGACCTTTCCATACAATTCGTGACCTTCCCCTTCTGCGCGAACCATATGCTGTGTTGGGACATCTGCATCCATTCTCACAAGATGGCCTAGCCAACGTAGTCGCTGAAGCTCGATATGTCTGACACTTGATCCGAATCTACTGGACATTTTACGCGTTGATACCACCAGCTTGATCTTATCGCCATTTACTGCCAGACCCACTTTGGTAGACTGCTTCTCAGTTTGTTCGATGGTGACTGTTACCGCTCGCAAAGTTCGACCCATTATATCGATGTCATTGGCGTAGGCGAGTAACATGTGTCGTTTGGTGTACAGAGTGTCATTTTTGTTCACATTTGCATACGACCTTTTCCAGCAGAATGTTGAACAGGTCACACGACAAACTGTCACCTTGTCTGAATCCTCGTTCAGTATTAAATGGGTCCGATAGTCCCTTTCCTACTTTAAGTGCCGACATTGCACCAGTTAAAGTTATCCTGCAAGAATGCCGAACACAGACATGACTTTAAACACCTCTGAACGGATAGGGATAGGGTGGGGTATTTTCAGGATCTGGCACAGTGTAAAAATCTGATCTATGGTGGATGGTATGAACCAATAACGTCTATAGTTGGCACATATCTTGTCTTGAATAGCTCGGCAGCTAATCCATCGGCAACTGCTGCTTTATTATTCTTCAGCCGACTAATTGCTATTCTGACCTGATTTTGTTTAGGTGGTAAACAGTCTATACCGTCATCTCTAATTGGTTCTATAAACTGTCGGTTTAAATAACTCGCGTACCTCTACGGACCTGTCACCTCAACTCTGTTAAACGAAAAGGAAGAATCTGTCGTATGCAATCATCCTTCCTTTCTTTCTGGCTTTGAGAGAGACTTCACCGTTGCCCATAATTTACTCACTCCCGTGCTGATGTTACAACACTTCAGATGTTCCATTCACTTTTTCCGCTTGTGCTTGCCGACTACCCTGTTCAATTCCACTGTCAGCTCTTTAATTCTGGGGCTAGAAGGGTTAGAACGACGAAGCTCATCATGCACATTTGCTAATCCCGCTGCCTCTGCTGGGAAGTAGGACTCAGGACTCGCGCAGAAAAATTATGAGCAGCTGTAGAAGTGATGATGATCCAGAAATTCTTTCTGCTTCTTGAGCACCAGATGGATCGGGCAGCTCTCTGAAGGGAATGATTGGATATTGGTGAAATTTCTGAACTTTTGCCAATTTACTTTTCCATGGCTAAGAAAAGTACGGCGTGTAGAAGTTATGAAGTCAGGTGGTCTATTGATGGATACGATAATAGGTAGGTGATCTGGCCCAGTGAAATGACGGGTTTGCAAGCCACGTCATTCGTCAGACCTGGAGACACGATTCAGCTTTGGCAGTCTCCCCTTATCCTGTTAGGTATGTCCTCATTCACCGTGCAATACGTTATCTATTCGCATGACCAGCGCCATGCCCCTCCGGTCATTACCTTGGTGGAAATGCCATAATTCATGGTGAACATTGAAATCCCCTAGCATGGGACGGTTATTGCTTTCCAAAAGATGACTAATGTCGGACAAGTAACGAGGGGCACAGCTATTTGACTGCGGAATGTATACGTTAAGCACCTCTACTTCGGCGATACCACACATGGTCGCTACACCCATACATTTCATGTATGGTTCACCCGAGTCCAGTTCAAGCGAGATAGAATAGATTGGTGCAATAGGAATGCAAAACCTTCACATTTTCTACGGTCCTTCCCTAAGAAGTTGTATCCATTACAACTCTTAAGACTGCAGGTGTTATTCAGCTTCGTTTCCTGGATCGGCGCGACCATTATACGTTTACGACTCAAACTTACTTACTTACTTAGCCTGCTTGTGATAGAGCTTTCGTTCCATAAGCCGAGCTTAGAAAAGATTTCCAGGCGCGTCGGTCTTTTGCGCAGTTTTTCCAATTTGAAAGACCATTTTCGGCAATGTTGTCCTCGACTTGATCTTTCCATCGTATTCTTGGCCTGCATGAAATTATCAGGAGTTGATGACATAGGCCGCGATGATAACTACGACTCGCTAGGGTCTGCATTAACCCAGCATGATGCAATGCGGTCCCTTCCGCTATACATTTGTACCCGGCTTAAACTGGAACAACTCCTAAAATGTATCCATTCTCCGCATGTGTTGCATCTCACCGATATTGAACTATGGTGGATTCGCTTGTGAAAAAATATCAGAACATGGTCCGGGGTTTGTCTCAATTCCGTTACGGCCCGGAAGCATGTTACTCTTATGCTGGAAAAAATACGTGAACACGTATTTTCTGGGTTTGGTCGATGATTGGTTCATTCGCGTTAATCCGGTACATAGAAACAGCTGATATGGGATTGGTCTACATATTTACTGTGCGATGTTGCAGTAACAGTGAGACAAAGAATTGGTCGAAGTATCGACAATATCACTGCCGTTCAGTCGTTCGTCCAAATTCTCAGCAATTGCGCATCACTCATCGAGATATCTCAGATCGATTAACACAAGGACGAAGCCTATAGGTGGTCACCTTTTCGACCAATTTCGTTTGTCCGATTGAGACGATATTTTATATTAATGGTGCTCAAAAGACTCCATGATTGTTAGATTAAAACGAACATTTTTGGGTTTCTGGTATATATAAACATATTGGTTTAGGATCTCATATAGTCGGCTCCATCTGACTTTGTTGCTTTCCTTATGTTATCAGGTTTGATATTTTACAAATTTCGAATCTTGATATGGATCTATTTCGTTTATAAACACAAAAAATTGTCACTTCCATTCTCTAGCTGACTTCTGTTCCACCGAAGCACTTCTATCGAACTACAAAGTGGTGATTAACACCAGACAAACAAATGTGTTAAATAAAAGGATAGTATAATCAAAAATGTAAATAACTTGTCGTTTGTAAACAATCAAAACGCTTAATGATGTGGATTTGGTTTACCGGTGGTATACAGCCCAAGTTTACTATTTGTGAAATGCAGTCACAACATTTGTCACGAGCACGAGTTTGTACATGAGCCAGGACAATTATGGCGCGTTGACTGCTGCAACACGTGCACTATACACATAACGACAAAGGAAGGAGGGAGGAGTTACACTTTTGATATGAAGTTCAACAAACCTTAATATGTACATGGAGCAAAATATTTACTCCTGCATAAATGGGATATGTGTTGATAGCATGCAAAATATTTTTGTAAGGAATGTCAAGTGTTCCATTATGGGATAATTAATATTAAATGGTGTGTGTGTTTGTGTGATAAACGAAAAATGCAGGTCAAATTTCAGTAGAATGTGGAAAGGACAATTTTACAGTGGGTCAGCCAATTAAATATGTTATAAAACGAAGCGTATAGGGCAAAAACACGCAGGCAATAGCAACACGTAATGTAATGAAAATAAGAAGATGAACAAGAAAATTGTGAGCGGGAGCAAATCGAGATGTACAGGAGTCAGAACGAAGTCCGGAAATTTGCCCAATAATTGGAACCTCAGCATGTTGTGTCCCGTGAACAAAAAAGGGGACAAGACGATATGTGTCAACTATAAAGGAATAAGTATCCTTCCCATCGCATATAAAGAGCTATCCAGCGAGCTGTGTGAACGACTGAAGCCAATGGTCAATGATGTTATTGGACCAATGTGGTTATGCAGGAGCCCTTCAATATCGAACGAGGATTCAAACAAGGTGACAGTTTGTAGTGTGACCTGAAAAATTCTCTGAAAGATCTATGGGCCGATCTGCGTCGATGGTGAATATCGCCGTCGAATGAACCATGAGCCATACAATATATTCTCAGACATCGACATAGTCAGACGGATAGAGCTGCAGCGACTAGATTAGCTAGGCCATCTTGTGAGAATGGATCAAGATGCCCCAACTCTTCCATCACTCCATCGTAGGTAGTATGCGTTATTTGTCCCTTGAATTTCGGAAATAAATTCAAAATCTCCTACATAAAATGAGTTAACCAACACCCATTACGCTTTAGGCCTTTGAACACTATAATCTTGCGACCTCGCAATGGCGTTTTCAGCCTTATCTCTTATCTGCTGAACACCCTCCCCCCCTTTGAGAGTTATCGTGCGCATCAACCAAATAGATATTTGCACTTATCAATCCACATATTGTCTAAAAAGTTATTTTGACGAGGAACATATTGTCATTAGTCAAAAAAGGGGATTCAAATTAATGGAGAATTGCCACTTTGATTTTAGGCCCTTACTATTTACATTCCACTGTACCCTCACATGAAAAATGTCAACTTGCTAAAAAAAAATGCAGTTGTTAGCATTGTTGTATGTCCTTTGTAATTTTCGCACTCGTTCTATACTACAATTTCAACAATATAACAGGTTGGGATTTACATTGTATAAACATTAGAGTGCCTTAACATGTATGATGGAAATGTATCTACGAATGTTTTAATGTGTTCAACAATCAACAAATGTCTTAACGGGGTAGACTATTAGGCCAGTAGAATCTCCTCTAAAGAAAGATCTGTAGAAGTTTCTGGACTGAAAGAATGTTTTAAGTGGGTACAAAATCTGTAGAAGTTTCAGGACTGAATTTGCCTTTAGAATTTTATTCCTTCGACATAGCTGCACAGGTTTTTGTTAAAAACTGGTGAATCATAGGCAACAAACATCCTATCTATAAACCCGCCCTCACCAGCTGGAATGAATAAGGGCGATTGTGTGCCATAAACATACATAAACACCATTTTATCGGTTGCCACCTCAATTCCATCTCGGTCACTCCAGACTCCAGGCTCACACGGCTGTCCAGTTCAAGACGAAAATCAACTTCTTTTATGATGAGCAAGTTATCCGCATAAGCACAACCCTTGAAGAAGACAGCAAGCTTCCACAACCGAGGATCCTAATACAGAATGACGTCTTATTTTATTTCATCCCTTGTTTTTAATTCTATTGTACATGATCGTAAGTATTTAGTATTCACAATAGGTATGTTCAGTAATTATTTACAATAGACTGGTTCCCTATTTTATTCTACTACAGCTCGGCCAACCTGATAGTAGTGACCGCCCCGGTCACATATGGGTTAAAGGTTAATATACTACAATATACTAAATGCGATTATTCTACATACTTCAGCTATTTATACTAAGCTATACAAAGGGAATTTAGATGATCGGACAATTTTCAATGTCTTTGACAACGTATCTATCAGTTGGACACATATTGTTTATGACATGAGGATCCTTAAATTTTGTCAATAGCTTTTTGTTAACTTCTATTGTTGTGTCTATATTCGTTATTACTACGAAGTCTCCGACTTTGAATGAGCTGACTTTATAACCCTTTTCTTTGGACTTTTGCTCGTTGTACTTCTGTGTCTTTATAATAACGGCTTCTGCTTTGTCTCTAATTTCCTTGATACCGATGATGTAGTTGTTTCAACCGCATAATACTGAATTGCGTCTTATTTTTTCATCAGTATTTATTTACAATAGATTGGTTCCCTATTGTAAATAATTACAGGTTCAAAACTCTACTACAGGTTCAAAATTCATGGAACACAAAAACGACTCACTTGATCCCAAATCTCATGCCTTCCTATCCACGAAGAACTAGCCCAAAGATCATTTTCCCTGCAACCGATCGCTGACAACATAAGTGGTCAATGAAATTAGCTTTTAACGTCCTCAATTATGTCATACTTATATTTGGCATTTGACCCGTTCATCTATGCAAGCAATAAGTAACACTGACTAATGCAACTAATGTAAACGGACTCGATATTTTCCGACATGACCTTCCAGATGTCTTTAAACCCTTACTAATGCAATTAATAAAAACGCAAAGTCTATACGATGATGGAGTCTCCCAATTCGGAATGAATGTATAAGTTAAATGCTCTCCCCTCAACTCGAGGTGGTTATTGTTGAGCAGCTAACAACCTATTTACGAAAACCCTGGCGCTTAGATCCATCATACCGGCGCACAAGGACGGTATGATGGAGGAAGGAAGCCAGGAAGATGCATTCCTAGCTCTTCTTTGTACGTCCTAACATCAGCAAGGAATTAGGATTTACGCTAAGCTAAATCTTCGCATTGGATCAACTGACTCTATGGAATCTTTCCCGCAATCGCATAACTCACCGTGGTAGGGCGACTCTCTGACACAGTACGCATTGTGGTCCCAATACACGGCGCGTTCCTTCTAACACATGAAACGTTTCGTAACCTACATGCGTCCCCTCGTTGTGGCCACAATCTCAATGAAATTATGATCGCTCACAGTCCAATCTTCACAAACACTCCAACTAAACTGGTAAACCGTCATTGCTGTCCCATTTGAAGCCTTCACCTCACACCAAAAGGGTCATCAAAGGTATACAGACAGATTCGAGTGCTCAGTATTTTTCATTGTAGTGATGTGCGTTCGCTTTTACCACCATCCATCATAGCGCGGACACGCCAGTGAAAACATAAAAAGATTGGTTTGTTGACAAATCGGGTTCACAAACTCATATTTATCGGAAAACTGATTAAAACTGTTAAATCGCCATCAATTCTTTCCAATTAATTTTCCGCTAGGGTTTTTTTATTATGGTTTCGAACTTGCTACTATCTTACATAGACACAAC